GCATCGGCCTGCGGACCGAAGGGTCCCGGGTTCGATTCAGGTCTAGGGCACAGGCCCGGGTTGCAGACTCGATCCCCAGTAGGGGGCGTGCAGGAGGCGGCCAGTCCATGATTCTCTCTCATCACGGATGTTTCTCTCTCTCTCCCTTCCTCTCTGAAATCAATAAAAAAATACTAAAAAAAAAAATAAATTTTTTTAAAAACAAAAAGAATAAAAGGCAGGTTGGTGCAGACTCTCTCCCTGAGCCTGAGCCGTGGGGAGTGGACGCGGCCCCCGCCCCGGCCCTGACGGGGGCACTCACATGGGCTCCCCGCTGTGGATGTAATCCCACAGCAGCTCCTCCGACAGCTGCGAGAACTTCACCAGCGTCTCCTCGTGGAATTCCGAGATCTCCATGTCCAGCTGGCTGTCTGGGGGGACAAGAGGCCCGCGGTCGGACACGAGTCGCCTCCGCATCCCCCAGTTTGTGTCACCGCCTCTCGGGGGGGCGGGGGTATTGCCCCAGCGACGCGTGCAGCTCAGACGTAGGTCATGAATGCGGAGGAAAAGGTTCAATGTAGAGGGAAAGATTAAAAGAAAATTACAGGAAACAGCCCGGCCAGTGTGGCTCAGTGGTTGAGCCTCGACTAATGAAACAGGAGGTCAGGGTTTGAATCCCGGTCAAGGGCACAGGCCTGGGTTGCGGGCTCGACCCCCAGTAGGGGGCGTGCAGGAGGTGGACGGTCCACGATTCTCTGTCATTGTTGATGTATCTGTCTCCCTCTCCCTTCCTCTCTGAAATCAATAAAAAAAAAAAAAATTTTTTTTAAAAACAAAGAGCCCTAGTTGGTGTGGCTCAGTGGATAGAGCGTGTCAATAAAAGAAATAGATTCAAAAATAAAAATAAATTTAAAAAACGAAGGAAATTAGAGGAAACACACAAACAAAATGAGTCGCGAGGCGACAGAGCTGCGGCCGGCAGGCACGGCGGACGGGACGGCCCGTGTTCGGCTGTGACAATCCGTGGAGTGGCATTTCCGGGGCCCACAGCCCTCGGCTGTGGGGTTAGAGGAGCCACAGGCGCAGGGCTGCCAGTCAGGGTCCCCGTCATTAAGGGGAGCCCCCATAGCCACTGTCCAGGTGCGTATGATGTCCCCCCAGAATTCTCCGTCTACCGGGAGCCTGTGAGTGGACCTCGTTTGGGAACGGGGCCTTTGCGGACGGGATGGGGTGAAGGTTCGGAGACGAGGCCGTCCTGGGTCGGGGGGCCCTCCCTCCAGGGACAGGGTCCTTGTCGGACACAAAGAGGAGACGCAGACACAGGGGAGCAGCCACGTGGAGACGGAGGGAGGCAGAAGCGGGAAGGAGGCGGCCACCAGCCCGGGGAGGCCTGGAACCCATGGAGCTGGGAGACGCAGGAAGTCTGAGACCCAGGGGTCCCAGGGCTGGTTGTGGTGGGAGTTGTGTCCCAGCTGCCCCCGCCCCCAAGGCTCCGGTCCCCAAAGTCCCCAGGCCCCGCCGCCGTGAGCCTGGAGAGGGGTGGAGCCGGCCGGGTACCTTGGCAGGAGCACTGGATGATGGTGACGCCCGTGAACACACTGTGTTCCTTCCCGTTCAACCTGCAAGACACGACCGTGTGGCTCAGTGGGTGGAGCGCCGGGCCTCGGACTGCAGGGCCCCGGGTTCGATTCCGGTCGGGAGCGTGTACCCGGGTTGCAGGCTTGATCCCCGGTCTCAGGCCGGGCCCATGCAGGAGGCAACCAATCGATGTGTCTCTGTCGCATCAATGTCTCTCTCTCTGTCCCTCCCCCTACCTTTCCATTCTATGAAAAAAAAAAAAAAATCAAGCCGGTGTGGCTCAATGGATAGAGCGTCAGCCTGTGGACTGAAGGGTCCCGGGTTCGATTCCGGTCGGGAGCGTGTGCCCGGGTTGCAGGCTTGATCCCCGGTCTCAGGCCGGGCCCATGCAGGAGGCAACCAATCGATGTGTCTCTGTCGCATCAATGTCTCTCTCTCTGTCCCTCCCCCTACCTTTCCATTCTATGAAAAAAAAAAAAAAATCAAGCCGGTGTGGCTCAATGGATAGAGCGTCAGCCTGTGGACTGAAGGGTCCTGGGTTCGATTCCTGGTCAAGGGCACATGCCCAGTAGGGGGCGTGCAAGAGGCGGCTGATCTGTGATTCTCTCTCATCATTGATGTTTCTATCTCTCTCCCTCTCTCTCCCTCTCTGAAATCAATAAACATATTTTAAAAAGTAAAAATAAAGTAAAATAATAAAAATAGTAAAGGATACTAAAAAAAAAAGGGAGAGAGAAGGGCCTGCGTCCCACACAGGTGTGGGGTCACCGGTCCCCGTCAGCTGGGAGCACATGGACCCCAACATCAGAACGGGGTGCAGGGGGGTCGTGCAAGAGGAACCCAGATGGGGGACAGCCCTGAGCAGGCAATTTCTTTTCTTTCTTTTTTTTTTTAAAAAAAATGTTTTATTGATTTTAACTTTGACTTTGGTTTCACAATTTACATGGCTGATTTCATAAACTACCATGTTTCACATTACATAATGTTCTCACAGCTTACAAGTAATTTTTTTTTTTCCATTTGTGTGGGATAGGGCTTTCACGTTGGTACGCTTGGAGGGGCAAAGAGTAAAATACTGGAGGGGAATCTGATGTACGGGGATATGCACTTTCCTGGTACAAACCAAACACCTCCTCCCCTGCCCCCACAGTTTATGTTGAATGGCCGGTCCAGGCAGCCTGTGGTGAGCCTTCTCTCGGGGCCTGAGCTGGCTGTCTCTGAGTGTCCGTCCGTCTGCTCCCCTGGGATCTGAGCTGGGCTGTGGAACGGCGGGTCAGGGGAGGCGGCCCTGGGGAGTGAGGGGGGGAGGACGGAGGAGGGACCAGAGATGAAGGTCATGGACACGTGGACCCCGGCTCCAGCCCCATTTGGGGGAACGAACACGGCGAAGCTCCAGGGTGCAGGCTCTGGCCTCCGAAGGCCCCCGCAGGGCCCCGGCCCCTCCCTGCGTCCCTGGCTCCACGGGATGCGGGCTGGTCCCCGGAGACGGTCGCCATGGCGCCCACCTGGAGAGCATGCTGTAGGCATCCTGCTTGTCCACCGGCTTCTCCAAGATCAGCCCCTGCAGCGTCTGCAAGACAAACGGGAGGGCGGCGGGCGTGTCCAGCCCCGAGCGGGGCCTGTGCAGGCGCCCCGTCCCCTTCTGCACTTTCCTGTTAGAACTCCAGGGGGCTCAGTTGCTTGAGCATCGATCGAGGACCCAGGGGGTCACGGTTCGATTCCCGGTCGGGGCACCCAATGGATGTGTCTCTCTGAAAATCAACGGAGCCCCGGCCGGTGTGGCTCAGTGGCTAGAGCAGCGGCCCGTGGACCCAAGGGTCCCGGGTTCGATTCCGGTCAAGGGGCACGGACCTCGGTGGCAGGCTCCTCCCCGGCCCGGGCCTGGTCAGACCCTGTGCAGGAGGCAGCCCATCGATGTGTTCCTCTCACATTGATGTTTCTCTCTGTCTTTCCCTCTCTCTTCCACTCTCTCAGAAAACAGATCAATGGAAAAATATCCTCGGGTGAGGATTAAAAAATATTAATAAATAAATTTCACCAAAAGCCTGCAGGGGCCTCTCTGCAGCCAGCTGGGCTTGTCCTCTGACTGGACAAAGGCTGGAAGCACCCTGGCCAGGTAGCTCAGTTGGTTAGAGTTGTCCTGATACCAGAATTGTGGGTTTGATCCCCAGTCAGGGCACATGCAAGAAGCAACCAGTGAATGCATAAATTGTGTCTCTCTCACCTTGATTTCTCTCTCTCTCTCTCTCTGTCTCTCTCCCACTCTCTCTAAAAATCAATGAAAAAAATATGCCCGGGTGAGGATTAATAAAAAATAAATAAAATTCAAGGTGAGCCCAGCCTAGGTGGCTCAGTGGTTAGCGTCAACCTGGGAACCAGGAGGTCAGGGTTCAATTCCCGGCCAAGGGCACAGGCCCGGGTTGTGGGCTCGATCCCCAGTGGGGGGCGTGTGGGAGGCGGCCGATCCGGGATTCTCTTTCTCCCTCTCCCTTCCTCTCTGAAATCAATAAAAATACATATTTAAAAAGAAAAAAAAGAGGGAAATTGGGGCACAGGCTCCCACTGAGGGAGAAGCCAGGTGCAGACGACGCCGGAGAACGGATGATGTGACGCGGCCGGGAGCCGGGAGGACGGGCAGGGACAGAGGCTCCTGAGGGCGGGCAGCCCGCGCCCGACTGGGTGACCCGGACGTGCGAACCCCCAGAGGGCGGCCAGGAGCGTACTCACCACGATGGTGTCGGCTCCGATGACGATGTCGGGGGCCCGAAGGTCTTTCTGCAGGAAACACAAACCCGGCTTTATTTTAATTACTTTTTAATCCTCACCCGGGGACATCTGCCCATTGATTTTTGGAGACAGAGCGGGAGCGAGAGGGAAAGACAGAGAGAGAAACATCGATGGGGTGCCTCCAGCACGCGGCCCGACCAGGGCCCACGGAGGGGAGGAGCCCACAACCGAGGTCTGTGGCCTTGATCAGCCTTAAAAATTTTACCCAAGCCAGGTTTTTTCTTGCTATACCAGTGAGACCAAGCCCTTTTTAAAGATGACCACTTTTGCCCTAACCGGTGTGGCTCAGTGGCTAGAGCGTCGGCCTGCAGACTCAAGGGTCCTGGGTTCGAGTCCCGTCAAGGGCATGTACCTGGGTTGTGGGCACATCCCCAGTAGGGAGTGTGCAGGAGGCAGCTGATCGATGTTTCTCTCTCATCGATGTTTCTAACTCTCCATCCCTCTCCCTTCCTCTCTGTAAAAAAATCAATAAAACATATTTTAAAAAATATAAATAAATAAAAATAGGCATTCGTTTATACGAATCCCTATAGCACTAACTACAATGCATTTATCTATTGATTGCAATAGGACAGTATTATATACGTAGTGATGAGCTACATGAACTCCATATTGTGAAAGATATATTCACTATAACAGGATGTTGCGTGGTGACACATAGAAACAGGTGCTACATCAATTCTATATAACAATACTGTCATGTTCATTGCCATGGCTTCTGGCACAGTAACAAGCTAATTCATCATCTAGGTAATATAAACGATGCTATTAATTACAATAGTAGGTTATAACGTGACATCGGGTAATAGATAAGCTACATTCTTTTTTTTAAATGTATTTTTATTTCAGAGAGGAAGGGGGAGAGAGAGACAGAGGGAAATATCCACGGTGAGAGAGAATCATGGACCGGCCGCCTCCTGCACGCCCCTCACTGGCGATGGAGCCCACAACCCAGGCATGTGCCCTTGACCGGGAATCGAACCCGGGACCCTTGGGTCCGCGCGCCGATGCTCTATCCACTGAGCAACACCGGTCAGGGCTCTTCACTGATGTTTCTTTCTCTCTCTCTCCATCTCTCTTCCTCTCTAAGATCAATAAAAAATATATTTAAAAAATAATCATGGATGAGGAAAGCAGTACTCCATGTCCTATATAATGAAAGTGTGGTATGCAAATGGTCCCCTTGACCGGGAGTTTGTCCGGGAGTTCGACCAGGGGCCGGGGCAGGCCAGGGGAAGGGAGGGCGGCCCCAGCCGGCAGCTCACCCGGGGACATCTGCCCATTGATTTTTGGAGACAGAGCGGGAGCGAGAGGGAAAGACAGAGAGAGAAACATCGATGGGGTGCCTCCAGCACGCGGCCCGACCAGGGCCCACGGAGGGGAGGAGCCCACAACCGAGGTCTGTGGCCTTGATCAGGAATCGAACCCGGGACCCTTTGGTCTGCAGGCTGATGCTCTATCCACTGAGCCACACTACCTGGGCCCAAACGCAGCTTTAAAAACAACGCATGTCACCCGGCCGGCGTGGCTCAGTGGTTGAGCGTTCAGAGGGAAATATCCACGGTGAGAGAGAATCATGGACCGGCCGCCTCCTGCACGCCCCTCACTGGCGATGGAGCCCACAACCCAGGCATGTGCCCTTGACCGGGAATCGAACCCGGGACCCTTCAGTCCGCAGGCCGACGCTCTATCCACTGAGCCACACCAGCCAGGGCTACGTTAATTTTGACAGTAAATGATACCGTGAATTCCGATAGCACATTATATAGCAACAAAGTCATAGATAACCTATCTTGATAGCTCATCACATATGACACGGTTAATTACGATGGCATATGATGTAGCAACAAGGTAATAGACAACTTGTGTTAATTCTTTATCATAAAAGATACTGTAAATTACGACGGTATGTTATACAGTAACAAAGCGACGAACAAGCTGTCCCAATCCTTTATTGTCAACGTCACCTTAATTACAATAGCAGATTATCAGGTAACAAGCTAGTAGGTTATATCGTCTCTGTGTTGGACAGGAAACTGTTCCGTGAATGGTAACGGCTTAGTGCGAAGTCACAGAGTAGCTCTGGTGCATAAGGGTCACGCCGTATGACAAAAGGCCAACAGGCCAAGTGTCCCCTAAACCGGGAGTTCGACCAGGGGGCGGGGCCGGCCGGCCAACCACCCGCGGCCCCTTGGGGACACACTGGCTGGACCCCATACCTGTGCAGGAATTCGTGCACCGGCCTCTGGTAGAAGAATGAGAGTTCACTCCGCGACAACACTGAGCAATGAATAAACCGCATTAACTGCATACGATGAAGGGCATCTATTCTTATTTTATCTCCTAAAAATGTTTTTATTGATTGTAGAGAGAGCAGAAAGGGGGGAGGGAGAGAGATCAACGATTGAGCCCTAGCCAGTGTGGCTCAGTGGATAGAGCGCCGGCCTGTGGACCAAAGGGTCCCGGGTTCGATTCCTGGTCAGGGGTACAGGTCCGGGTTGCAGCTCGATCCCCAGTAGGGGGCGTGCAGGAGGCAGCCGGTCCGTGATTCTCTCTCATCATGGATATTTCTCTCTCTCTCCCTCTCCCTCTCTGAAATCAATAAAAAATATATTAGCCCCGGCCAGTGTGGCTCAGTGGATAGAGCGCCAGCCTGCAGACCAAAGGGTCCCGGGTTCGATTCCCCGTCAAAGGGCACGGACCTCGGTTACAGGCTCCTACCTGGCCCTGGTCGGGACACGTGCAGGAGGCAACCGATCGATGTGTCTCTCTCCCTCACACCGACGTTTCTCTGTCTCTCCTCTCTCTTCCACTCTCCCTAAAAATCAATGGAAAAATATCCCCAGGTGAGGATGAACAACCAAGTAAATAAGTAAAATCTTATGAAAAATAAAAATAAATTTGAAAAATATAATTTTGCCCTGGCCGGTGTGGCTCAGTGGATAGAGCATCGGCCGGCAGACTGAAGGGTCCAGGGTTCGATTCCGGTCAAGGGCATGGACCTTGGTTGCGGGCACATCCCCAGTGGGGGGTGTGCAGGAGGCGGCTGATCGATGTTTCTCTCTCATCGATGTTTCTGACTCTCTATCCCTCTCCCTTCCTCTCTGTCAAAAATCAATAAAATATTTTAAAAAAGAACAAGAAGAAGAAAAAAGAAAAATATCGCATT